GGAAAATAATCTTGCAAACCTTAAAGTAGAGGATGTAGATAGTTTCAAGCGCTTCATGATATTTCATTATCAATTTTAGATATCATAATTCTTTTATAATGAAATTTTTTTAGGTTCCATGCAGATCACTAATGATAGTGTCTTGAATGTTGATACTCATGAAATGGACGATACAAATTTATTTAAGGACGGTGATCAATATATTTAATTATCACGCTTAATTATCCCCTCGATTTTGTTAAAACCGAGTTGAAAAAACTTCTTTTTTTACATTACAATGTTTATACAGAATATTTAAACACAATATTACAACAAATCCATATTCTTGTAAAACAACAAATCTTTGTTGTAAGGAGTTATCTATTTCAAACATTGGAAAATTTTATATGGATTGCATGCATCCAACTTTTAAAGGAGTTATCTGTTCCAACCATTGGAAAATGCTTTTTTGCACTTGCAATCCATCATAGAGAACTTTTTCAAGCTTCTTTAAGTTCTAAGATTTCATTATCTTGAGCAAATATTTTCATGGCAAGATTCCATTCTATGATTAGGGTAAAATATATTTAACGAGTATTTTCATAGTAAAATCTGATTTATTTTATCCCCAGTTATTAAGAAAACCGAAAGGATAGATCATTTAGCTTACAAATAAAACATATAAGAAAAATAGAGGTAATAAGTGGATTATAATGAAAAGAAGAAAAATGATGTGCAACCATCAAAATATGATGAGGTTTGCCTCTCGGGCTACAAACCTAAATAAATCGTTGTGTTATCTCTCTCTCTCTCTCTCTCTCTCTCTCTCTCTTATTTACTTTGTATAGTAAATTATTCAATTCATTGATTGTATAATTGATTCGTAGAGACATATCCTTTGATTGTTAAACATTGCTTTGTTGATTATATTACAATCAATTAGATTGTAAGTGGAAATTTCATATCAACAAAGTCAAAGGGAAAATATAAAAAATTGATTGCACGTCAAGTATTTCATTACAAGGATTTGTTAGGTAGTTCACCAATCGTCCTCGATATGGCTATGGCTGCCCCGAATTCTGTTTGGAATTGAGATAAGAATTATTACTATGCAAAATATTGTTTACAAGAGAAATATAGCGATCCAACCCTATTAACCCTATGTTTGATGTTGATCATAACACTTTCTCTTCCCTTGATCTGAGTTTGATCAAGTCACCCAACAATACCAATTTGATCCAATGTCTCGTGCTACTCATTTGCGAGAACCACTATTCTTCAAAGCCTTCACTCGGACGAATCCAAATTGAAAATTTTTGTCACCCAAGATTTCCAATCGATTCACCGTCTCACGCTACTCCTTTACAAGAACATCTCATTCTTCAAAGTTCTTCACTCGATCGGACATGAATTGTGAAACCTTGTCAACACCCACAAATCAACACTATGATCTTGAAGGAAAATCCTCGCAGTTTTTCCGATGAAACCCCCAAAAATTCTCAATTCAATCTTAGGTTACACCAACCTAAATTGAACGTTATCAACACAAGTCTAAATGACACCCAAACAATGAATGATTATGTATACTTTATTTGTGTGTTTGGATAGATGAGGTTGAATATGATGAGCAATTTTTGTATGTGTTTATAGTTTCATCTAGTTGGAAATGGCGCATATATATATATATATATATATATATATATATATATATATATATATATATATATATATATATATATATATATATATATATATATATATATATATATATATATATATATATATATATATATATATATATATATATATATATATATATATATATATATATATATATATATATATATATATATATATATATATATATATATATATATATATATATATATATATATATATATATATATATATATATATGGTGTGCAAGTTGGAGGCAAAAAGAGGGAGGCTTAGAAATTGAAAAGAAATATAAATTTTTTGAAAAATTATAGTATGTGTCTACACATATAAGTCATGTGTCGACACATGTAATGACATGTGCCAATCTGTTCAAGGTCATGTGTCAAAACAACGAAGCAGATGCTTACATGTTTTAAATTTATACATGTGTCGACCTAAAGCACGTATGTGTCGACACATAAATGCAAAATTTCAGCACGTGTCGACCTAAAAGGTTGTATGTGTTGACACATAGTTACAAAAATTACAAGTTCATTATTGATCCACATGTTTCGACTCATATATTGTAAGTGTCGACACAAACCTGTTTTTCATGTAAAAACTCTTTTTTTTTTTAATGCATTGTACCATTTTCAAATAAGTTCTAAATACATTCTGAGATCCCTAATGTAAGGTGCACATAAAAACTCAAAGATATCGTTCAATATACAGAAATACTAAGGTTATCCTAGTTTTGACATCACGTAAAACATGTAATGAGTAAGTGCACTCACAAAAATGACAAAGTTAAATTCAAATCAATATTTTTGATATGTGAGGACAAAGAACAATAACAACCAAAATAAATGGCATTTAATAATAATAATCAATAAGCAGAAAATATAATAGAAAAAATAAAGACGAGAAAGGCGAAAGATTTGTTTATCTAATTCGATCAAAAGATTTATATCTAGGGGGAGCAGCTCTCTAATTCACTATACTCAAAAATTTGTTATAAGAGATTGCACATGAATTACAAGAAAATAACCTTTAAAATATTTATTTTATGATGAAGTCTAAAAAGTTTCCCTAAACTCTAATCCCCTAGAAGGAAGATAAATGCTAATGTAGTAGTCTTTTTTATTTATTTTTTCATTTTTTACCTCTAGAATCTCGCGTAAGCTTAAATTTGAAGACCTGACCTTTGCAATAACAAACTACTCTCTATCTACTAGCCTAACCACTTAATTTATTAACAAAATTTCAGTTCAAATATCTATTACATAACTACGCCAGTAATAAAATTAATTAATTTATTTAATATAAAATACTAATATTAATAAATACTAATATTAATTTATTTAATACTAACTGTTTGATCCTTGAAACATTAATAAATATTAATATTTATTTATTTAATGCTTCAACTATTTAATTAGTACTAATAGTTCAATTATTTATTTAATACTAGTATCAAATAAATATGAAATAGTTAAAATAATATGAATACTAATATTAAATAGTTGAAATATTTAAACTATTAAATAGTTGAAATATTAAATAATTATTTTATATTAACTATTTAACAACTATTTAACTATTTATTATTTATTTGACATATAAAAAATTAAATATTATCTCCGTTTTTTATTATATGTCGTTTGAAAAAAATTGTGTTTAAATATATCTCGTTTTGTAATTTTAATGTAGAATGAATTTTTACAATTTTTATATTGACTTTTTTAATGTTCTATTTCAATATATTAGTCAATTTTTTTAGAGAAAAAGTCTTTCTAAATTTTCCAAAAGGTTCTCTTTATTCAAAGTGTAACTCCTAATTAAAATTCTTAAGAATTTATTCAACGTGAATTTTTTTGAGGATTTTATATATTCTGCAACTTTTTAATTCTTCTTTCTCTCATTAAAAAAAACCTTAATTTTCAAAAAAAAAAAATTACTGATTTTTTAAGGTTGTTTAGCTTATTCTAATTTTATTGAGAGGAAAAAAACGTGGATTCTAGTTTGAGAGGGAAAAATTAAAGAATAACAGATAATGAAGACATGTATAATAACTTTATTTAAGAGAGGAAAGTTTATAAAATGAATTTAATGTTTTTATTTTAAACTTTTTATTTATTAATGGTGATAAATTAAAAACACGTATATTTTTTATTGATTATGTAATTGATGTTTAGATATTTCATTATTAAATTTTGATTGATCTAGTATAAAAAAAACTAACAAACTTTTTCACTAGAGAAAAATAAGAAAAGAGAATAAAAAATAAATATAAGAGAGAAAATAATAAAGTCAATTTAATTATTTTTAAAATAGAAAGTTTTTTTTAATAATGATAGTATATTTTTTATGGATGAAATAAATGAAATCTAGATATTTCATTATCAAATCATATCGTTAATTAATATAAAAAATTTCAAAAAGAAAATAATAAAGTGAATTTTATTTTACTTTAAAATAAAAAGTTTTTTTTTTATTAATGGGACTCAGTTGAAAATTTATGTATATTTTTTGTTGATAAAAGAAATATTAATTATTTATAAAATAGTATTTGTGGGTGATATTGTGATACTTTGATTATGTAAAAATTTACATCGACAATGTAATTTTATAAACACTAATATTGGAACATCCTATAATATATTTATAAAATTAGTAAAATTTAATGATTTCCTTAGTATGTAGAAAAAGGCTAAAGGGGCTTATAATAAAAAAACACAGGAAGTAGTTGAATTAATATTAAATATTAAATAATTATTTCATATTAATACTTCAACTAATATTTATTAATTGTAGTAGCAAATGGTCTCTTTTTTTTTTAATCTAGTAATGTTAAATTTTGTTTAAAATATTAAATAGTAATATTAAATATAATTAAATAATAATTAAAATATTTTGTGTTGAAATAATTATCAATTAGACTATTTAATAGTATTTAACAATCAGTTGAAATGTTTATTAAAATAATTATTTAATAAATTAGATAATTAAAATTATAATAGTTGAAATATTAATAGTTAAAATATTAATAATTAAAAGATTAAATAATAAACAATGATTAATGGAGAGACATAAAATATTAAACACAGAATAGTTGTCACTAATATTAAACACAGATTCTTGGAAATTTGGGCTAGTATTATATACAAAAAATGTAAGTGAGTTAGTGGTAAGGCATGCTTGATCTTAGTATGTGGAACAAGGTTCAAATCATGTTGCGTAGGAGTGTCCAAAAAATCCAAAAACCATAAACTAAATTTCTATCCAAATTTTAAAATCTAATCCAATACTATATTTTAAAACCGGTGGCCCTTTTAATAAATTTAAAAAAAAAACGGTACTACATGCTAAACGATTCAGCTTATCGGATATCAGATTTAGATTTAAAACTCGGCCTCTTTCTCCCTTCTCCCAGCCGCACAACGAAATTGACCGAAATCCAAAACCCTAATCTCAAATCTAATGAAATCTACAAAATCTTTCTTCATATTCAACGAAATTGTCTAAACCACAATTATGGGTTTATTAAAATAGCTCTAAATCCAACGAAATCGTCCTTCGATAATACCGTCAAGCTCTCTTCTGCGTTTGAGGTAAGTAAATTTCTACTTTGAAGCTTTTTAGTTTCATTTGAACTTTCTTTTTTCAATTCAATCGGCTGTTTTCACGATTCATGCTTGTTTTTGAGTTTTGCTTGAACTTGGTGTGAATATTGGTGTGAATTTTCTGAATGTAAAGTAGCATATTATTTATAGTCTCTTCATTTGATTTACTTGTTGGAGAAATAAAGACTTAATATATCTCCATAACATTTGCTTGTGACTAGACAAGTTGACACAAGTGTTGGAAGAAGAGCGAAACTCTCAATAGTTATAAGAGAAATTGCCATTTCACTATGTAGAAATTTCAAGACTTCACTTGATCTGTCATAGTTGCGCATATCAGTTCCAGATCATATTTATCGAATACTTTAGTCGACGAATTACCATTTTTGGGGTCAAAACTTTCTGGCAATGTTTAACATATGATAAGATGTTTGACAATTTAGAATAAATTCAAACTGAGGCTACTTAAATGGTTGATTAGATTACGTTACTTGTCATTGACTGCCATAGTTGTACATCAGTAGTACTATATGGACATGTTCACACACATTTATGATCTTGACTACAATGAAATTGAAGTTGCAAAGAAATATTTTAGAAAGTTTATTACGATTAAATTATAAATTATTTTTCTGGGATATATTTTAATGTGATTTTAACTTTGTAGAAGAGGCATAAAGCAAGTCACATGGGAAGGGTTCTTGCATGTTTTACAATATGGAAGCGTGAGAGTTCAAGGAACCAGCAAGGCAGTGATTATGTGGTGATGCAAGGCAGGGATTTATGTGGTGATGAAGCGTAGAAGTTGTGCCTTAGAAACATTCATCCTGCTCGTTTGCTAACTTTTCGAGTTGTTTCATTCTCTTCTCTTTTGGCGTCGCTAATGCCAAACTCCATGTCAGTCGTAGCGTAACATTTTACTATTACACTCAGTGAGTATTTTGGATTTCTTTTCCTTTGATTCATAAATTGTGATCGTAAACAATTTTATTTTGGATTTCTTCCCGATGGACCATCACTCTGGTTACAATTTATTTTGGGGTATGGTATGGCTCTTATTCTCCTTGGAACTCTTTAATTGATCCAATCCTATTCATATATGATATATCTCACTTTGCACCTTCGTGATGTTTTACTCATTAAGAAATTTTGTAGTCAGGTAAAGGTCAACAAGAATTTTAATTTCTGAAGTTTTATTTATGTCTCATACTTTGAACTTTCTTTTTGTAGTGTGGGTCTATGCTATCAATTTATGGGTGTTTTATTTATGTCTCATACTTTAAACTTTCTTTTTGTTTATGGGTCTATGCTAAGTTTGAATTGTGAATCTGTTACAGGCCTGATGGCACCAAATAGACTTATGTGAGGTAGACTCCTGATTACGATGTATTGGATGTAGTAAACAAGATTAGGATTATCTAAGTTAGTACCTAATTTTGATTTTAGACAGTTCTTTAGTGAACATTGAAGGAAATTTTTGGAAAACAATTTAGTTATTTATTTTGTGTTCTTGTGCTATGTTGTTTTCTATATTTTATTTCAAGTTACAACAATGATTTTGTAATAATTGGTTTTAAATTTTGATTTTTTATAAAATTGGTTTTTTTAAAATTGGTTTGTGATACATATATACTAGTGAAATATAGAGATCAGGTACCAAAATTAAAAACTCCTTCCTTATTGGGATCAAATATTTTTTTTAATATTTCTTAGTGTGGTTCAAATAATTGTACATATAAGAGAAACGCTTTTCTTGGAATCTTGACGATGAAGATGCTTTATTATAGTAGAGTTTATGGAGGCTATTTTGGCCATGGAATTTACTTTATCTTAGAATTTTTTGGCTTCTCAAATCAGTTAGGTTTGAGGTTTCGGTTTGGTTCTGTCATTTATGTACCTATTTTTCTTTTATATCAGGGTTAAAGTCCATTTTTTTATTAAAAAAATATCATAAAAAAATATCTATTTAATAGAAAATAAAAATAATTTTCATATAAAAATTATCATAATCAATTCTCATAATTGATTTTACATTTCTATTAATTTTAAGTCTTCAAAATGAAACCAAACATAAGTTTAAATTAACTTTTTTTCACCGTGTTAACTTTTTTCACTGTTACAACTCTTTTCATGCCACGGCTCTTTAGAGATTAGTTTACTGTGAAAAAGAACTCCTCCTAATATTATCATCAAATTTAGTGACACTCCTTATTACTTATTTGTTGTGTATTCATGGCACTATTTTTTAATGTGAATTAATTCAATATCAAATTCAATATCACGCTTATGTTATTTTGTGGTATTCAATATCACGCTTATGTTATTTTGTGGTACTTATCCCTTTTGTATCTGTGCTCCTTATTTTATTTATGCTGATTTTCATATTTTAGAATTGCTTATTAGTTTTTTAGTTTATATCATTGAAGTCTTTGATATTATATTAATGCATGAGAAGAAAAAATGAGATAATTTAATTTAATGTAGATATTCCTTTAATTTAGATATTTCAACTAAGTTAATTTAATTTAATGTTAATTAACATTAAAATATAATAAAAAATATCTCCATTAATTAAAGATATTTTATAAAAACACAGGAAACATATATCTACGAATACAAATAAAATATAAATTAAAAAAAAAATTTAATATTAAGAACAAACTATTTCATTTATCTAATGAGTTCTTATATTTAATGGTCATAAATCAATATTTTTTAGCAGTGTGATGTAATGTTTTTAAATATAAATGCATTTTAAAAAATATATAATTATAAGTGATGATATAACGGTTGTTCAAAAAACATTACTGGTCCTTTTAAAAAAAAGTAATTGTGAGGTAACATCTATTATTTTATTTATTAATTGTTCAAGTAAAATATAATTGTATATTTGTTTTACAGAAAAAAATTACTAAAAAATATTATTCCTTTCAAATAGAAAATTAGTGATATAATATACGCTTCCCTAAAAAAAATGTGTGCAAGAAAAAAAGGCGTGTAAGTAATATCATATTAAAATATTTTACTTTCTGAAAAAAATAAAATTTATTAATAATTAGATGTGTAAAAATTTGCGGTACTCATGCATTTGTACAAGCATATTTTACTTTATATTTGTTTTCAGAAAGATATATAAAAAAAATGATACAAAGAATAAATGAAGACAAATAGAAACTAAAAAGATAAATAATGTTGTTGATGCTTCTTGTCCAATTTTAAAGTGGTAACTAAATGTAATTTATAATTTATCTATAATAATATAGAATGTTACAAAGCTTAATTTGATTATTTTAATAAAATAATTATTTGATAGATAATAGATACAAAATATATAAAAATAATATGTGTTAGAATTTATATACTTTTTATTTTTAACATATATAATACTCTTCTTCACAAGAAATGCATGAATTAGAGATACATGTTTAATAAACAAAGAATGAGGAAGATGTATGCATTATTTGCAAGATATATAGGTAGTTCATGCATGTAATCGGTGTTGGTATTTGTGAATGAAATGCATGACACTAAAATTCATATTTAATTTTTATGAAAATGTGAGTTACTCTTTTCGTATTCTTAAAAATTCGAGAAATATTTTTTATGTGTTTAAAGATGTATTTTCAAACGTATTTATAAATATATCAGTATTCGCTGCTCTGAAATCTATTCTCTTTAAAATAAAATGTAATTTGGAGATGCATCTACGAAATTTCCCTTGAAGTTTTTTAGAAAGTATCGGAAGCGTGTTAATTGCAAGGGGGAATTATTTCGGAGATGCATCTCTGGAAATCCCTCTAAATCATTTTAGAGCAACACCATTGTCCCAACATTGAAATTTTTTAGGCCAATTTATATTAAAGTAAAATTAAATTAAAATTAAATTATATTAAAGTTAAATGAAAGTAAAAAGTCATACATTAATCCAAAAAGTCAAGACCATACATAACACACTCTTAGCTTTTCAAACTGAACATCATATAAGGCTTTAGTAGAAATGTCTCTCTGACGTTTTACTTGTAGACCAAGAAAGTAAGTGTGATTTCTTACAAAACTCATCTCAAATTCAGACAGTATTTGTTGAACACAATGTTCCGCCATCTTGAGAACATCTCACTTGTCATATTTTTCTTTAAAAATTTGATCTAAGTGTATCTTGAACAATTATTTATACAAACAAAGACATATTTATCCCCGGGCTTTTCACTTGCATAGGTCCCATCAGATCCATATGAAGTAACTCTAAAACTTTTGAGGTGTTTTGAGGTGATAAGATGTTGTAGTTTCTTGTGGGACATCTTAGTCTTCTTGCCTATTTGACACTCTCCACAAATTTTGTCTTCTTCAATCTTGAACTTTGGCAATCCCTTAATAGCATTGTCAGATATGATCTTTTTCGTACTCTTGAGGTTGAAATGACCAAGTTTTTGGTGTTATAACTTGATCTCATCTTTCCTGGATATAAAACACGTCAAGAGCAGACTTTTGTCTTGAGATACCTATAAATAAAATTTGCCTTTGAATTTTGATCCTTTCATCAACACTTCTTGGTCTTTATTGGAAACAATGCAATTTGATTTGTTGAAGCTCACATTCAGACTTTGATCACATAATTAACGTATTATAATCAAGTTTACAATTAATCCTTCTATCAGCAGTACATTATCAAGGCTAGGGAGACCTGGATAAACTAATTTACTTATACTCTTTATTTTTCTTCTTGATCCATCACCAAAGGTAACATAACTATTCAAGTAAGGTTTTAACTCTTCAAGATAGTTCTTTTCTCCAGTCAAGTGTCTGGAACATTCACTATCAAAGTACCAATCTTCTCTTGAGGAAATTCTAAGCGATGTATGAGCTATGAGACTTATAATTGTTTCTTTAGGCTTACACAATTTTCTTGCTTGAGTGTTCTTGCATCTTTTTCTATTGAACCTAGGTTGACTATAGGACTGAGGATATCCATACAGTCTATAATATTAGGGATTTATGATCATATCTTCCAGAGTAATGACATCTCAATGATGAGCTCTTGTTGCCTCTATTTTGAGAATAAACGTGTCAAACCAGATGTTATGACATGTGGTCCAACATTAGAAACTCAGTCTTCTTCTCAGAGGGAACAAATTTCTTAGTGATTTATTTATTCATGGAGCTGTAGTCAAACCGTATTCCCTTTATATTCCTAGACATCTTCTCAACTTCCAAGATCTTATCTAACATATCAGAACCATTGTTCAACATACGAACAAATTGTCTCATATTTTCAAGCTTAGAATTTAACAAAATAACTTCCTCATTCACACCAGTGATGGTTGCAAAAAGCTTTCTTTTTTTGGAAGGAGAGCACTTATAATCGTATTTTGTTTCTCTCCTACCATGCATGCTTCCTTCTGCTGACTGTAAAAGATTTTGTATGTTTCAACTAACTTTTCATCAGTGATTTCTTCATTGCTAGAATCACTACTAGAATCATATTTTCCAGTGAAAGCCATCGCTTTATTAACTGTTTCTTCTTCATTCTCATCAATAGAATCATACCAAGTGATTGACATCTCATTTTCCCATTTCTTTAAAAACGTAGGACATTCAACTTTAAGGTCGCCAAAATATTCACATTCATAACATTGAGCTCCTTTGACTTTATTTAGTTTGTCTTCATCTTTAGTTTTGCATTGGAGACCAATTTCAGACACTTTTTCTTGGATATTTATCCTTCATCTTCTGTCCAATTTCTTCAAAGATTTGTTAAAATTTTTACCAAGAAGTGTTATAGCATATGATAGATTTTCTTGACTT